GAACCTGCGAAAACACTGTGCAAGGTGGGCTCAGCATGATCACCAGGGGCCGCAGCAAGGTGATCGTATGAAGGAGTCGATGCTGGGCACTTTCTAGAAGCAAGTCCCAGCCAGTTCCCAAGTCCACAGGGCCTGTCAACAGCCCCAACTCGTTGCAGTAGGGCGCGATCCTCGGGTTGGAGAAGACCTCCATGAAAGCGACTTGGTCTCCTGGGGCAAGCGCAGGACCAGGAGCAGGCACATGCCCTTCATCTTCAACATCGCTGTCAACAGCTGAAGGAAGGGAGATGTCATCGCAGTCGGACATGACCGGCTAACACACACAGGAATCTAAAAAGCAAAGCTGGCAGTGACCAAAATGGCTGCGCATGCATGACACAGAATGACATGCTTGCAAGCACACACAGAATGGAACGTGACTTCCACTGCAATGGCAGAAACAGTTTGTGTGTCGCAACATTCTGTGAACAACAAGATTTTGGCGGCTAGCCGCACACAACCCTACTACCAGGCCCTATGCTACTATGTTTAGTTTGGCGGCTAGCCGCCCGACCAACAAGGAGTACACAAGGCCATGGAACCTTCAGAGCATGGCTGGATGATTGAATCACAACGCAAGCATGTTTTTTATACTTCCGCGCTTGGCCATACTGCGCTGTGCTTGGACCATCAAATGTCCAATGCTCAGTCAGGCATACCAAGCATACTGCGGGCAACCCGGAGCTTGCACCGGTTGCATCCAGCTGCAGAATGGCGGCACTTACTGCAGCCCAACTTGTGCTTCGGGTTGCCAGGGTCCAAATGCGACAAGACCCTTTGCACAGCCGGGTCATCCAACTGCAAGGCTGCCCTGGCTTTTGCTTTGGCCTTGACCTTGGGGCGTGCAATGTTGGGCTGCGTGGATGCCTTGGACTGTCCCTTGGCACTGGGCCTCCGCATCACAGGGGCCTGAGAGATCGCCGCAGCTGGACGCTTCATGGCAGGGCGGCCCCGCTGAGGCAAAGGACCGGGTTCATGTTGAAGCTCAGGCGAAGGTGGGTCTGAAGCAGCTTCATCCTGAGGGCTGTTGCCATTGGGCGAGGATATCTTTTCATCCTCAGAGGCTGCAGGAAACTGAGTCTCATTGAGCTCCTCACCATCATCAGCACGAAGTGGGGCAGGCTGCTGCGAAGCCATATTGCTGGCAGCTTGGGCCCGGCGACTGACATGAGCCAACTGCGGCACAGCACGAGCAGCTGCAGGCCGTCGCATGGCAGCAGCCTTCGGCTTCCGGTAGACAGCTTTGACTGGAATGGCCCCATTGGGTGCAAAATCTTGCCAAGTAGGAGGGGCAGTTGACAGTGGCAGAAAATCCCGGCCCTCAACTATGAAATTGATGTCTGGCAATGGCGGCTGCTCTGCTTGCCCAGCATTTCTCCGGAGCCAGGACATCAGATAAGCAGAGGCCGCTTCTAGCTGCCACGGCGCTGCAAGAACTTCAAGTGCTGTCCGCTTGTACTGCTTAACAGAGAAGTCTGTGAGCATGGTGCGAGGGGCTGTCATGCCAGGGAGCTTTGAAAAGTCTAAGCCCAAATCACCTTCAAGAAGAACAGTCGGTGGCTGGCTCAAAGCTTTTGAGCAAATCCAATGCTTTGCAAGCAAGACCGGGTCACTGGGTTGGCCCTGGCCATCTTCCTCAAAAGGGATGCCTGGGACACACGACTTCACAGAGTCCCTCCGAACTATGCGGAACAGGTGGGCTGCATCAGCAGTAGACTGGGTGCCTGTCATGCCAGCAAAGTGTGTCGCCAAGTGGTCGAAGAACATCCGCCAATGGTGGGCCCCTCCAACTTCCTCAACGACAAGTTTCACATTGCGAGCTGGCTTGTAATGCTCCTGGAGAAAGCTGATGTAATCTGCGGGGGTCTCTAAGGAGGAAGCACGGGCCAAGAGTTTTGCTATCACAGCAAATCTCTGATCAAGGCGATTGTGTGTGTGTCCAACTTTGAACATCGCAATTGTGACTTCCTCTGCCCGCTGAGTTCCCACCAAAACAGCTGCAAATTGTAAAAGCATGCTATTGCGGCCTTCTTTGGATGTGTTGTCATTGTGAAACACCAGCCGGGTTGGCATTGACTTGCCACGGCTGCGCAGCTCTTCTTCTGCAAGCTCCAGGGCGCGGCTGAGAAGGGTCTGCTGGCAATCACTGTCGCCCTTGACATCGGCCTCCAGGACAGCAAAGTACTCAAGCACTCCAGCAACAAGAACTCCAACAAGATGCAAGCAGGGCCGCCACAGAGCTCCCAATTTCTTCGTGTTGTCCAATTGCCGCGGCACTTGCCATTTGGACTTGTCCATGGCATCAATTGTGAGAACCAAATGTGGCAGCTGCAGGTCATCATTTCGGGCAGCTTGCTCTGCACTGGTCTCCAGGGAGGTCACGATGCCACGGTCAGCAAACACTTCCCGGATGTGCTTGTTGTAGGCTTGTGTGACAGCCTGCACATCAGCAGGGTTGCTCTGAAGGCGCCTGAACTTGGAGTACTTGGCGCAGTCATCACAGCGGCTGTGAACTTGAAGTGGCCGAATCCCGAGGATGGCTTGCCAGCGGGACCAGGCACGTGTGAAGGTGGACCAACTTGCCAGCTCCACATGGTCGCAGTGCATGTCCTTGTACAAGTCAAAAAGCTCTGTTGGAGTCATCGTGGGGAGCCACCGCTTTTCAATCGACGGCTTCTCGCCTGTTTTCAGTGATGTGATTGCCAGCGACGTGGTGTTGAAGAGGTCCTTGGCAACTAGCCAGTCTGGGGCAGAGACCAAGTTGGACTCATCTGCCTCAGTGCTCGGCAGTTCCACCAATGAGTCATGGCCACTTGAGGATGGCTCAGCCTGATCACGGGCCGCCCCCAAAGGCTCAGCCAAGTTGTCATAGATGAAGCAAAAAAAAGCATCCATGTCCTCTGTTTTGGGCTCAGCCTTTTTCAGTGGCGCTCTGCGTGCATCAGCAGGAACGATGACTTCACCTTCGGCGATGGCCCGCAAAAACTGCTGAACCTTCTTTCGCGGGCAGCCGCTGACGAGAGAATAGCCACGCAAACAGAGCTCATGGCCATGCCACTGGAACACTTTTCGGCGGGCACTTTCAGGATTCTTGCGGTTCATGTTCAGCAGCTGGTTGAACCAAATGGTGTTTTTGCCATCAAGGTCTAAGCTGTCCAGGCGGAAATTCAGTCGGCTGCTGGCTTCTCGGGGAAAGTGTGAAAGCCTGTCAGCACAGTTCTTTGAACAGCAAGGCTCCCCAGCAAGAATTTGGTCTGGTAGCTCCACTGCAGACTCCTCTGAGGCTTCATCCTCAGACAGGACAGCAGGTGGCAGCTCAATGTCGGAGTCAGCCATGACTAGCGCATGGCCGAGGAGGCAGCAAGCGCAAGCTGTGCAAATTACAAGTTTGGATGGGGCCATGTCCCTTTTGAAATAAATGGAATTTTGGAGACCATGACAAAATTGACACTATGACCAAGTGGTGGCTAGCCACCATGATGTCTTGCAAACACATGTCTCAATGGTTGCCTGGAAAGTTGCCGCACTGACTGCATGAATCAACACCATGTTTACTTGAGGCGGCGGTTTGAGAATCACTGGCATGCACAGTTCAAGTGCTGGCTAGCCAGCCTTGCCACAGAGCAATTCAATCAAGACACCATGCTGGCTAGCCAGCTTCAGCAACTCATGACCAAGTGCCCATGCTGGCAAGACAAGGGTTGCCACTAAACAATGTTTTCCACATAAAGCAACAACCACACAGGCGGGGCCTTTCAATTGACTTCCCTGGCAAGTTTCACGTCAGTCAACAACTGCCCAATAAGAACCCTTGCAGAGGGAAATGCTAAAGGCGAAGGAGCAACAAGTTGACAGTGGCATCCCCCAAGCATGCAACGAGAGAGGGCCGCGAGACTATTTTTCTGCAAGCGCAAGCGTGTGGCATCAGATGTCCACCCACGTGATGTGGAGATCTGCGCTAGGCTCGGCAGACAAGCTGTGCTTCAGGATCTTTCGTTGCATTTCCTTCAAGAGGAAAAACAACTCGGAGCCCTCCTGCACACCGAAATTAGCCGTGCCCCGCGGCACAAGTCGAATTGGCAGCGATCTTGGCAGCAAGAGTTTCAATGCTGCAAAATAGGAGCGGTACATGGTTTCTCCAGATTCAAAAGTGCACTTATAGAAAAGAGTGATGTGAGGCACATGCACGGGCATACTGTACATTCCAAACTGTGGGAAAAGACAGATATAGTGATACAGGCTGCCATCTGGACCTTCGTTCAGTCGGTATCTCAGCGACTTTGGCTCAAGCGAAACCACCGGACAGTCAGGAGAAGACAGGAAAGCCTCGCGGTACAGGTGCCAGTACTCGTTGTCAATGTGGTCGGAGGCCACGCCTTGCCGGGAGCGACGCCAGGAAGCAGTTGCTTCCCCAGAAGATGGCAATGGCAAAGTGGCAGGACGTGTCGAAGGCATCACCATGGCAGCAACAGGGCAAAGCAATGCCACACAGCTTGGAGCTTGAGAATTCAAAGTTCTTCCGGGAACCACACAAAAAGAGACCCCAAAGCTTGCAGCAGAAATTTGCTGGCTAGCCAGCTCTGGAAACTTCTCATTGACAGCTGAAATTTGCTGGCTAGCCAGCCCTGAAAATGCCTATGACAACTGAAATTTAACTGGCAAGCCAATTCTGGGCACAGACATGGCTATAGGATTACTGACTGCACATGCATGGCTACAGCTTCAGAAACAGGACATTTCTCAAGAAAATCAGGCCAAATCCTATGAACAGAAATTTATAGCGGCTGCGCCGCTCCGTTTTGTACCAATATAATAGCGGCCGCGCCGCGCCGTCTTGTACCAAGTATATAGCGGCTACGCCGCCGCTCCGTCTTGTACCAAGCACACTGCATCAAAGATGATTCCAGCATTTCCCGAGCCGGCCCAAGTAACAGAGCTGAAGGCGACGGCGCTCAAAAGCCATGCTGCCTCAAGAGCGACGCGTCGCGACAGCTTCTTTGCGCGCACTTGAAACACTGGATGCTGCCGAGGGCAGCGAGCGTAAGAGAGTTCGTGCTGCTCCCGCTTTGCGTCCCTTCGCAGACTGCTTTGAGCTTCTGGACTGTGGAGACGGCCTGGAGATCTTTGTCGCCAATCCCATCAGGGTGCTTCTGGTAGCTGCAGCGCGGTGTCACTGGTATCTCGAAGCCTTGCGCCGCTGGGGGCCGCAGATTTCGTGCGCCCTCTTCGTCGACGAAACGACCGGGGGCAATGTCTTGAAGGTCGATCAGAGATTGAAGGTTTGCTTGTTTTATCTCGGCCTGCGACAGCAGTTGCGGGAGGCGCCCAATCGCACTAGCCTTTTTCCTGTTGCAGCTTGCACGCATGAGCAGCTCAAAGATGGCCCACACGTCCTCAGCCTGGTCCTTGCAAGGCTCGTGCGCCAGTGGCGTGCGATGGGGGCATGGTCGGCCGCGAACGTGCATGGCGTGGAGATCACTCTCCAGCTGTGCGTGTTCGTGGCCGACCACGATGGCCAGCGCATGGCGTTCATGTCGAAGGGCAGTGCGGCAATCAAGCCGTGCCTCTTCTGCGCGAACGTCGTCAAGAAGCACTGCGCGGCAACCCGGGTTGACGACCACTTCGTGGACATCTGCGAGGACGATGTGGCCAGATTCATGGTCACATCGTCCGCCGAGGTCTTCGTGGCGTTTGACGATCTGCTCCCGCAGGCGTCGAACGCTTCGAAGGCCCGGCGCGCAGAGCTTGAGAAGTGCTTCGGCTTCCATCTTGACCCGCGCAGTCTGCTTGCTGATGTCGTGGCACGTGCAGAACTGCCTTTGGAGGCCGTCGTCAACGATAGCATGCACTACTTCAGTAACGGCGTCGCAAGCCAAGAAGTGAATCTGCTTGTCACATGTCTTGCCGAGCACCTCATCACCCCAAGCTTGCTGCGTGATGCTGTTGCGCAGACCAACTGGACCCGGCCAAAAAGGCTGCGAGACCATGGCCAGACGAGGTACTGGACAAGTTCTCTCTTCAAGGATGTCTTGTTTCAGGGGGACCTCTACAAGGGTTCGGCTGGGGATACTGTGGCTGTATGTCCTTTGATATATTACTATGCCAAAGAGCTGGCTCCCACATCCCTTCAGCCACAGCTGGCAAGCTTTGCAGCGCTGCTGGACTGCATGGCTGCTCTTGAAGCATGCTCGCGTCGTGCAGGAACACCTGAAACGGAGGCCCTGTGCGCAGCTCAGCAGAAGCACATGCGTTTGTTCAAGGCGGCGTACTCCGCGGACCTCCTGCAGCCCAAGGCGCACCACCGTATGCACCTCCCGTCGCACTACAGACGCCACGGGTATCTCACGTGCTGGGAGCAAGAGTCCGCTCACCGATACTACAAGCACGACCTGGCGGAGGCGCTGCAACACTTGATAAGTCAGCCGGAGGCTTTCGGTAAGGCCCTGCTCTCACGCATGCTTCTCCGTGTTGTGACGGAGCTGACTGGCAGAGTGGAGCCGCGAACGTCGGCCTTGCAGCCGCCTGTGGTTGACAGTGACAGCGTGACGGCTCTGTACGACGTACCTGCCACTTTGAGTGAGACCTGTTTGGTTGCCGGGCTTTCCCTGGCCAAGGGGGACGTGATCCTGACTCCGGACTTGCGCCGTGCTGCAGTCATCCACTTCTTTGCGCAGCGTGACAATGCTGCCATATATGCTGTTCTCTCAGCATACAAGCTGTCCACCGCTGGCGCCCACTGCCGCTCCTATGAATTTTTTGGTCAGGAGACGTGGGGCCTAGCCGAAGTGCAAGGCTGCTATACGGTGCGCTGGTGGTGCTTGGACGGCAATGTCTTGCAGTGCCTGCACACAAACTTGCAGTGAAGGAATGCAGTTGAAAACCGCGCCATGGCGGCACATGCTTCTTCGCACGCTTGGCGGCCGCGCCGCTTACCGCCCCACGTCGTTGCAACGGGTATATCTGCGGCTGCGCCGCTCGTACGTGCACACTATAGCGGCCGCGCCGCTCATTCCATGGGGCGTCTGCAGCGGCTGCGCCGCCGTTCGTGAGTGCGGCTCTGCCGGACAGCCGCTAAACCGGAGCGGCGCAGCCGCTGAATCGGAGCGGCGCAGCCGCTAAATATATACAGCGGCGCGGCCGCTACGTGACGCAGATTCGCGCGCTTGCAAAATGCTCTGTCCATATGCACAAAACCGCGTTTTCATGCATCAGCCGAGCGACGGTGCTGTTTCGCTGAGCCACAGCCCATAGATCGCTCTCAACATGGGCGCGACCAGGGCAATGCGGTCGATTCTTCACGTTTTGTGCTGCAAAATGGAATCGGATTAAAAAGCGCATGTTTTTTTGAGCCAAAAAATATCCGGAAGTTATAAAGTACTTATAAGCTAGTTAACTATAAGTAGCTTCTAAGTAACATCCCGAACTTACTGTAGTTATAAGTACATATTAAGTAAGGTGGCCACCTTGTACCGGCTCTGACATACCCTCTGGGGTCGAGTACGGGGCTATCATCAATCCTGGAAGGCCTACTCGGAATGGATCCCCTTCCCCGGCTATCGCCAGACCGGGGATCAACATTCGATGCACGAGACTCAGGAGTAGAGTGGATATGAACATCAGCGGGATCGAACATTTCCTCATCCTGCGGAGTTGAACCTAACGGTACAGGGCTAGCTCTCCTCGCCTTTGAATCGGTCTCTATGGCTAAGGGTGACGGCCTCTTCGCAGAAGCACTGCGTTGCCTGGCGGCCGATCCCCATTGGGGAGTGAACTCATTGCTAGACCTTAGCGGTTCGAGGTCGCTGGGATCTCGCCCTAACGGGCTGGCGATCGACGGACGATCCTCGATTCCGAGTGCATTGGCAAGCCTACCGTCTCTCGCACCTGCCTCAACTACTTCGGCAGCCCGCTCAGTGATTCTCGGCGAACCAGTAACCCAGTTTGCGTTCTCGTCTCTCTGATTCAGCGGACCTCCAAATGTAATGTTGGGAAAAGGGGGAACATTTGGGGTATGGTCAAACGCCGGAGGACCTATCGGTCTACTCCGGTCATGGATGGCCTCCAAACCCTGAAGAACCTGCCGGCTATCCCTGGCCCTCTCTCTCTCGCTCCGGGTGTCCCTGTCAACACGAGGGTCCCTTGCAGCTCCACGAGAGAGGCTCCTGGGCCTAGCAGCAGCACGGCTCCTTGCACTTCGGCGTGCCAAATTCTCTTCCTCATCACGACGATCCGCAAATGCGGCAAAATCGTCATCATCATTGAACTCAAACTTTGCCGCAGCAGGATTAGGCCTATCGGCATCAGACTCCTGCTTCACACTACTGCCCCAGCCTGCGGTTGATGTTAACAGGGCATCGTACCCGATGCCTGTAAACGTCCTCTCCACGCGCTCATCAAACTGACCTGGATTTTGAGAACCAGTGGATCGACCCGAGATATCTCTCAGAGCCGGAACCATGGTTCCTGGTCCTCGCGGCCTGTCCCCGAGCTCATCCGAGGCCTGCGATTCACCTGGAACAAGAGACCGTGGGGGTCGGATGGGCATGGCCTCCGGGTCGTCTGAATGAGGGCGGGCCATGTTCATCGCCATGCTGATGAAGTCCAAATGTCCATGCCTGAGACCTGACTCAGAGCCGACCCTATCGGGGCGAGCTCTTTGTCCTTGCTCATCATCGGTTGCCTGACGGAAAATGCGATCGTCTCCATCGTCAGTGAACCTGCCACGGCTTCTGGGTGTGTCCCTATCAGGATCATCACCCCTGCGGTCCTGACCTGCTGAACCTGTTTCGAAGTCCTTGTAGTTGTAGTCCGGCAAGTCCTCACCTGATCGGAGACCTCCTAGGATGGCCTCCTCATCCACGACACTCCTTTGTGATCGTGGGGTCGACATAGAGCTTGTAGTTGATGGTCTCAAGCGCGTAGGAAAGTCCTACGGCTGATAACCTGTGATTCGGGCACGAGCCTGTGCCCAGGCAATGGGTAAGTTGGGGTAAACAAGCCACAAAAGAAAGGTTCCCCAAAAGCAAACCAATCCCCGGTCCCAAAGATCAGGGTTTCCCACACACCAGAGAACAACAACCAAAACAAAGAAAAGAGTTACCCGCAACCTTGACCGACAACAGGCCGCACGAATAGTCCCCACCAACCAGGCAGCGGCCCGAGGTCTCTTTCTCCCCCGAGATGCCGTCGGTCGACGCAGGGGTTCGGCGACGCCCATTCGAGGCGCGACGGAACCCATAAATCTTGAGCCAAAGTGGCACCGGATAGTTGCTATCGCAACATGCCGGTAGTCACCTGAAATGCATGGCTAATCACAGTATGCAATTGTCTGGGGCTAAGAGGGCAACGCCAATTTTAGGTGATTGTCGGGGTTCGGAGGGCAAAGCCAATGTTACGTATGTGATTGTCCGTGATTAGGAGGGCAAAGTTAATTTTCCGTATGTGATTGTCTGGGGTCTGGCAACGCTAATTCTACGTGGAAACGATCACATACCCAAAACTCTAGACAGACACATACGTAAATTGGCGTTGCCCTCCTAACCACAGACAATCACATACGAAAAATTGGCTTTGCCCTCCTAACCCCAGCCAATCACATAAAATTGGCTGTGCCCTTCTAACCCCAAACAATCACATAACCCCAACAGTCGGCGTCGCCCTCGTAACCCCAGACAATCACATAAACAAAATTGGCTTTGCCCTCCTAACCCCGGACAATGACATAACATTGGCTTTGCCCTCCTAACCCCAGACAATCACATAAAACACGCTCTGCCCTCCTAACCCCAGGCAATCACGCAAAATCGGCTTTGCCCTCCTAACCCCAGACAATCACATAAAATTGGCTCTGCCCTCCTAACCCGAGACAATCACATAAAGTCGGCTTTTCCCTCTCAATCCCAGACAATCACATAAAATCGGCTCTGCCCTCCTAACCCCAGGCAATCACATAAAATCGGCTTTGCCCTCCTAAGCCCAGACATTAACATAACATCGGGTTTTCCCTCCTCACCCCAGACAATCACATAAAATCGGCTTTGCCCTCCTAACCGAAGACAATCACATCAAGTCGGCTTTGCCCTCCTAACCCCAGACATTAACATAACATCAGGTTTTCCCTCCTCACCCCAGACAATCACATAAAATCGGCTTTGCCCTGGTACCCGCAGACAATGACATAGAATTGGCTTTGCCCTCCTAACGGCAGGCAATCACATGGAATCGGCTCTGCCTTCCTAACCCCAGACAATCACATAAAACCGGCTTTGCCCTTCTATCCCCAGACAATCACATAAAACCGGCTTTGCCCTCCTAACCCCAGACAATCACATAAAATCGGCTTTGCCCTTCAAACCCCGATAATGACATAAAATCGGCTCGGCCCTCCTAACCCCAGACAATCACATAAAATCAGCTTTGCTCTCCAACCTGCACAAAATCACATAAAATCGGCTCTGCCCTCCTAACCCCAAACAGTCACATAATCATGGCCTTGCCCTCCTAAGACAATCACATAAAACCTTCTTTGCCCTTCTAACCCCAGACAATCACATAGTCGGTCTGCCGTCCTAACCCCAGACAATCACCTAAAGTCGACTCTGCCCTCCTAACCCCAGACAATCACATAATATCGGCTCTGCCCTCCTAACCCCAGACAATCACACAAAACCGGCTTTGCCCTCCTAACCCCAGACAATCACATAAAGTCGGCTTTGCCCTCCTAACCCCAGACATTAACATAACATCGGCTTTGCCCTCCTAACAAATAAAATCGGCTCTGCCCTCCTAACTGCAGACAATCACGTCAGGTCGGCTTTGCCCTCCGAACCCCAGACAATCACATAAAATCGGCTCTGCCCTCCTAACCCCAGACAATCACATCAAGTCGGCTTTGCCCTCCAACCCGCGCACAATCACATAAAGTCGGCTCTGCCCTCCTAACCCCAGACAATCACATAAAATCGGCTCTGCTCTCCTAACCCCAGACAATCACATAAAACCTGCTTTGCCCTCCTAACCCCAGACAATCACATAAAATCGACTTTGCTCTCCTAACCCAACCCAAGACAATCACATATAATCGGCTCTGCCCTCCTAACCGCAGACAATCACATAAAATTGGCTGTGCCCTCCTAACCCCAGACAATCAAATAAAACCGGCTTTGCCCTCCTAACCCCAAACAATCACATAAAATCGGCTCTGCCCTCCTAACCGCAGACAACCACATAAAGTCGGCTCTGCCCTCCTAACTGCAGACAATCACGTCAAGTCGGCTTTGCCCTCCTAACCCCGAATATCACAAAATGTCGCCTCTGCCCTCCTATCCCAAGACAATCACATAAAGTCGACTCTGCCCTCCTAACCCCAGGCAATCACATGAAATCGGCTCTGCCCTCCTAACCCCAGGCAATCAGATAATATCCGCTCTGCCCTCCTAACCCCCAGGCAATCACATAAAATCGGCTTTGCCCTCCTAACCGCAGACAATCACATCAAGTCGGCTTTGCCCTCCTAACCCCACACAATCACATCAAGTCGGCTTTGCCCCTGCTAATCCCAGACAATCACACAAGATCGGCTCTGGCCTCCTAAGCCCAGACAATCACATCAAACCGGCTTTGCCCTCCTAACCCCAGACGCTCACATAATATCGGCTCTGCTCTCCTAACCCCACACAATCACACAAGATCGGCTCTCTCCTCCTAACCCCAGACAATCACATAAAGTCGGCTTTGCCCTCCTAACCCCAGGCAATCACATAAAATCGGCTCTGCCCTCCTAACCCCAGACAATGACATAAAGTAAGCTCTGCCCTCCTAACCCCAGACAATCACAAAATGTCGCCTCTGCCCTCCTAACCCC